AAAAAAAAAAAAAAAAAGAAAGTCCTACAACCAATGAAATACACAAAATTTTCTTAGGATGAAGCATAGGCTCGTCACAATAAAGTTTCTTACCCTACAAACTGATTTGAATGCAACTTTAATATAGTCCCCTGAGCTAATATGGCACAATCTGAAAAAACATTTTAAAATCTAAGTACCTTAGAAATAATAACCTAGTATACATTTTTTTTTGCCAGGTGCGGCGGCTCACACCTGTAATCCCAGCACTTTGGGAGGCCGAGGTGGGCGGATCACCTGAGGTCGGGAGTTTGAGACCAGCCTGATCAACATGAAGAAACGCCGTCTCTACTAAAAATACAAAAAATTAGCTGAGTGCAATGGCACATGCCTGTAATCCCAGCTACCTGGGAGGCTGCGGCCAGAGAATCGTTTGAACCCAGGAGGTAGAGGTTGTGGTGAGCTGAGATCACGCTATTGCACTCCAGCCTGGGCAACGAGCTAAACTCTATCTCAAAAAAGAAAAGAAATAACCTAATATATATTTTTATATTGTTTTCTTACATGACAAACCAGGAAAATGCAGTGGTTTGGAACTTGAAACAACAGTGTAGAGTGCTATTAAATGGTACAGGGATACTAGGCCCTAGTGAAGAATGAGAACTAATAATGCACAGCATCAAGAAGGAACACACAACAGTGCATTTACTTTTAGCTTTGTGCTATTTACAAAATGCCACCACACCACACTCAAAGTAAACCAAGGGCTTCAACTATACTCCGAGTAAAAATATCCAGGATGACTACTTCATCTTCGATTTCTACTGCTACAAATCTTTCTCTATATCCCCTAACAGAACTTGACAGACTTCTGAAAACATGCCCCTTCCCCTCATACTCCTACCAAAAATGTCACCCACTTAGCTGCCCAGGTCACAATACCAAGCATCTTCAATTCTTCCCATCTCCGTCCTGTTACACAGTCTTACTGTTTCTACCTCCTAAATACAGATCAAACAGGTTTTCTTCCCTCATCCCCACCATCACTGCTTTATTTCAACCTCTCATTATTTAACTCTCAGTATGCTACCTTCAGCCCCTCTCAGTTTTTAAGTTCTGTTTTTGTATAAAATGGTGTCAGGCAGGCGACACCTGTTACTATACTACCTCTAGGGGAGTCCCATTGTGTGGAAGACAACAAAGAACATAATGTCTATCACCAGCAGAAGCAGTTCCAAGATGTAAAGCTTTGCAGTTGTTAGTCACAAAGAATGACATAACCTACTCTGGCACTGGCAGGACAATGCTTTGCTAACACAAAGAATAGACAGAGTTAAAATCACCTTCAATAGTGTCAGTCCCCCAGGGCTAGCAGGTCACAGCCAACACAGGGAGATGGTCTACATGCACCCCGCATGCTGCAGGCAAAGGTCCCCCATTCCCTCCTCACTGGGAACAGATTCAGCAATAGGGTTCCCAGGTGCCATATAACATACATGCTTATGCAAAACAAAGGAGTACACATCGAGCCCAGGGCAGGAAAGGATACTCCCAGAGATCTGCCCAACACAAGCTGTGAGGACTCGTTATCTCTTTGCAAGGCAGTATTTCATACTAAAGGCCACTCTATATACCATGAGTGCTGCACATGACTGCTTTCCTTAACTTGATACATAAGAGGGAAAAGCCATATGCAATAATGCAATAAATTAGTTCCCAAATCTCACCAATCAGAAATAACCAGTGATATTAATATTATTGTGGGCAACTTTTTGTTTAATGCAATACACTACTACAAAAAAAATTTCCTTAAGACATCAAGCATATTATACATGCTGAGACTCATACAAAACATAATTCATGCTGTAAGTACCGTACATATTTTATTTTATTTTATTTTTATTTTTTTTTGAGACGGAGCTTCACTCTTGTTACCCAGGCTGGAGTGCAATGGCGTGATCTTGGCTCACTGCAACCTTCGCCTCCTGGGTTCAGGCAATTCTGCCTCAACCTCCTGGGTAGCTGGGATTACAGGCACGCACCACCATGCCCAGCTAATGT